GGGGGGATGAAATACTATATGGGGGGATGAAATACTATATGGGGGGATGAATTACTATATGAGGGATGAAATACTATATGGGGGGATGAAATACTATATGAGGGATGAAATACTATATGGGGGATGAATTACTATATGAGGGATGAATTACTGTATGAGGGATGAAATACTATATGGGGGGATGAATTACTGTATGAGGGATGAAATACTATATGGGGGGATGAAATACTATATGAGGGATGAAATACTATATGAGGGGATGAAATACTATATGGGGGGATGAAATACTATATGGGGGATGAAATACTATATGAGGGATGAAATACTATATGAGGGATGAAATACTATATGAGGGATGAATTACTATATGAGGGATGAAATACTATATGGGGGGATGAAATACTATATGGGGGGATGAAATACTATATGGGGGATGAAATACTATATGAGGGATGAATTACTATGGGGGATGAATTACTATATGGAGGATGAATTACTATATGGGGGATTAATTACTATGCTTACTATGGGGGAATATTACTATACTTACTATGGATGACACATACACATCATTCATCTACTCTTGGTCCGGCCCCCGGGTCCAATTATAAAATACTTTATTATTTCATAATAAAGTAATTATAAAATAATTTCTTTGTGTTTGATTCCTATTCAAGAGAATTACTTTATATATAGTCAATATAGGCACAGAGGTAAATTTTTTTAACATTTTCTAATGGTGGTGTGCCTCGTGATTTTTTTCATGAAAAAAGTGTGCCTTTGCACAAAAAAGGTTGAAAAACACTGGTCTAGGCGATTGAAGTGGGAGCAGGTACCTGTCAGATTCGGGTACCCGCTCCCCAAAGGTGCCAATCCTTAATGGGGAGCAGGGGATAAAGACTTGAAGTGAAACTTCCCCTTTTGAGTGGAGCCCCGCTTTAATGATACCCCAGACAAAAATTAGCATTTACCTTTGCATTGCAGGGGGACCCCCCCTACAAGGGTACTTTCCACATTTCACCAATGTTCAGCTTTAAAAAAAAAAATCATAAGGTGTGTTTTTGAATGCAGCTAGTGTGAGTACCTGAATGTTTCTTCACTCTAGCCTGTCACCCTCTGCACAGCAGCACTGGGAGAGAGATGGGCATCAGTGCTGCAGTGCCTGTGCTGTGAGTGGGAGTATGCTAGCAGGAGGGATGACCTCTTCAGTCTGCTGCTGTTCAGTCATTGTCGAGTCAGCAGGTTTGAGGCATGGTTTAGCCAGTTTTCTTCACTGTGCAGCTGCTGCATTGGAGGTCCAGGAGCGGCCTGTACTGTCTCGCTGGGGCGCCTTGATAAATTGTTTAAAGAAAAGTTCACCTTTTGGACAAAAATCGTAAATGCATATTTTTTTTGCAGGTAAAAAATCCCTAGATCGCCGATGCCATGCAGGATTCCAGCAGACCTGTCAGAGTATCTGCTTGCCGTATGGCACGGGGGGGCCGCGGTCCTCCAGCTGTTGCCAAACTACAAGTCCCATGAGGCATTGCAAGATTGACAGTTACAGGCACGACTCCCAAAGGCAGAGGCACGATGGGACTTGTAGTTTCGCAACAGCTGGAGGGCCACCAGTTTGACACCCCTGCTCTAGAGCTTAGGGAGGGAGAATTCAAATGCTAGGTCTGAATTTTTAGTAGAGCCTGGCCAATCCCTGGGGAGGTGTGCCCAGAAGGTGGCTGGGTTACTGTTAAACAGTTTCAAGCTGTGGGTGGATAATCTTTTTTCCCCTGTGGAGATTGATCTGTTTGTTGAGAGGTATGGGGGGTGGGGGCATTGGTTGTCCTTGGACCTCCTTTTCCTGACTAAAGGCTGGACTAGTTTGCCGGAGGCTTCACTTTTCCCCTAATGTTACCAGCGTGATCAAAACGTCCAGTATGCATGAGGACTAATGCTGAAAAACGCTGCAAAATGTGGTAAAACTGCACATTTTTGGACTTTTGGAGGGCCACCAGTTTGACACCCCTGCCCTATGGGATGTTAGAGCAAGCAGATCTATTGACAGGAAGCTTTGATGAACCACCGCGGTGCTCCACAGCAACGTGGTCGTTCATTGAAAACTATAAGCACAAAGCCACTAAGGCTGGTGGGACTTGTAGGCGCTCATTCACAAAACTCTGAGAATGAGTGACGCGGCTGTGTGGGCGAAGCCCCGCATGGCTACGCTGTTTTCAAACTTAACAGATCGTACGGGGAAACTTCTCCCCGTACTATCTGCCGGGGGGGGGGGGCGACGGCTGCAGCTATGGGAATCCTGTTCCCGAAGGCAAATTTATCCTTCACCCTAGGTTCACATCTGTGCGGGTGGTGCTGCTGCGGATCCTCATGAAAATCCGTGCAGCCGCACCACCCGCACAGACGAATGCGGACCCGCGGGTGCCATTAGTTCTAATGGCAGGCCGCCCGCACTGGGAACCTCACCAACCTGATTCCCAGGTACCACCCTACCCGTACCCTTCGCTCTTCACAGGACCTCCTTCTATCTTGCTCCCTGGTCTCCTCCTCCCACGCATAACTGCAAGACTTCTCCAGGTCCTCCCCCATCCTCTGGAACTCGCTACCCCCCAATCCATCAGACTGTCACCTTCTCTCCTCACCTTCAGGCGCTCCCTGAAAACCCACCTCTTCAGGGAAGCCTACCCCACCCTCACCTAACAGCCATCCTCCTCCACTCCTCCTACCACTCCATCTCCCACAGCCATTTCCTTCTGTACCACTACCCCCTCCCTCCTAGATTGTAAGCTCGAAAGAGTAGGGCCCTCTTACCCCTCGTGTGCTGTTTGTAGTTGCTGTAATGTTTCATGTATTGCCCCCCCTATTGTACAGCGCTGAGCAAACCCTTTGGCGCTATATAAACTCGATGTAATAATAATAATAATAATGTCACGGGCACAGGAGTCCATTCAAATGAATGGGCTCTCGTGCCCGAGCAGAACGCGGCCCGCATGGCCGCATAGGTGTGAACGGGAGGTTAAAGTAGGCAAAACTTTTCTTTTTTTTTTTTTTCCCTAAATTTCGATAGAGTGAGAAAGGGTTATAACCCCGGTCCATTTATTTTTTGCTATCTATGCCCCATTGAGGAGATTTACCTGCATTTCCTGTCCCATGACTAAAACAGGAAGTGGTAGGAAATCCCTGCAAATTAAGGGAATTCCTTGGGGACCCCCAGGTCACTATAACTAGTGTCCCCATTGGAAGATTTCCACTCTATTACTTTTCTGGGGACAACCCCCAAGTTTGGGGGTTCTCTTTAATTTCACTCTCAGTGATAATGGTAAAGAGGGTGAGTGCTGGTTCACATTGGCTTCCCGCACCGCATTCCGAGCGCAATGCCCTTGCGATCTGCAGTGGGGGTCAGTTAAAGTTAACGACACCCCTCACACAGGTCGCAAACACATTGCGTCTGCCTGCACCAGTCCGGTACAAAGTACCATGCGATGCAGTTGCCGTGCGTTTAAGAAAAAGTAGCGCGTGCACTACTTTTGGTGCGGTGTGATTTAATCCCTTTCAAATGAATGGGCGTGACATCGCACCACATAGACCCACATATGGAACGTACAGCGCGCTCCTCGGCGATTCATATCAGGGCATGTTGTGAACCGATCCTGAATCTCCTTAACAGAGGCAAAGACAGCAATAAAAGCCTAATGCTCTAATCCGTCTCCAAAACTAAAAAAAGAAGTTTTGCCTTTTAGTTATACTTCGATTAACCTCTTCCAGACCGGACACTTTCCCCCCCCCCTTCCTGACCAGGGCAATTTTCAGCTTTTAGCGCTATTACACTTTGAATGACAATTGCGCGGTCATGCATCACTGTACCCATATGAATTTTTTACCATTTTTTTGAGACAGATAAAGCTTTATTTTGGTGGTATTTATTCACCACTGGGATTTGTATTTTTTTGCTATGTAAATGAAATGTCCAAAAATTTTGAAAAAAAGTGTTTTTTTTTTTTTTATAACATTTTGCAAATAAATAATATTTCATCATAAATCTTAGCCAAAATTTATTCCGTCATCTTTTTAGTAAAAAAAAAAAAAAAAATCCAAATTAGTTTATAAGCAAAAATTATAATTTTTAAATGTTTTTTTTTACATTTTTATTTTATTTTTTTATATTAATTTTTAATTTTTTTTTTACATACTGTCACCCTAGCAGTACAGTGCCACCATGGTGACACTGTACTACTTGTGGGGGGTGATGAAGATTTTTTTTTTTTTTACACTGATTGCTTTTACACCCATATAGGATGTAAAAGCAATCATTTCTCTTTCTCTCTGTCTGCATTCTTGCACTCATTGAGAAGTTTTTTATTTTTTTTTTTTATTTATTTTTTTTTTACATACTGTCACCCTAGCAGTACAGTGTCACCATGGTGACACTGTACTACTTGTGGGGGGGTGATGAAGATTTTTTGGTTTTTTTTTTTTTTTACACTGATTGCTTTTACACCCATATAGGATGTAAAAGCAATCATTTCTCTTTCTCTCTGTCTGCATTCTTGCACTCATTGAGAAGTACTGAGTGAGCTGTGATTGGTCACAGCTTGTCACATGGTACAAGGCTTTTGTGAATAGTCCTGTACCATGTGACCTCTGTGATCATTCACAGATTTCACACGTAGTAAGCAATGATGTCAGAAGTGACATCTTGCTTACTACTTTGCATGTGATCACTGATTGGCCAATCAGTGATCACATGATCGGGACCTTGTACAGAGGATTGGTATTTCACTGTGTCCGGAGGACACAGCGGGCACCGGATCGCGGTGCTGCGCGCTCCCAGGGAGCGCGCACAAGCAGGGTGCGGGGAAGGCCGTTTATAGACGGCCACCCGACCCTGCAGTGCCACCGTCCGGCCGTTTTATATACAACGGCCGGACGGGAGATGGTTAATTATTGTATGGTGTTTTTCCTCCTGCTTGTTTCACTGCTTCCAACCCTTTTTTTTTTTTTTTTTTTAATTCAGAATGAATACATGAAAGACGACTTCTTCATTAAGATCGAGACGTGGCATAAACCAGATTTCGGGACCCTGGAGAATGTAAGATATCTGACTAAAGCATTGTCCTTTTTTAACAGGGTCCCTTTCCAACCCCCACATCCCTCCCCCCAAAAAAAAAAAAAATTTCAGTTTGATTGTTAATTTTTTATTGTCCATGAGCTGGAAATATATTGGTGATACATAAACTTTGCTGGATGTGGAACATTGTCCTTTGTGGTGCCGGTTCACATATGCAAACGACTACCAATCCCAAAAGAAAAACTTTTCCCCAAAAAACAATCCTCAGCGCCTCTAAAAACAGTCATAAATGGTAAAATGTTTTTTTTGGGGGGGGAAGGGGGGGGGGGGTCCAGAAGTTCCAGCTGAACCTGGAAGTGATGAAATGTGCGTCGCCTCTGGGTTTCTACTAAGTAGGGAAGACCGGTGAACATCACCTCTACCTGGATCCACAGGCATGAGAGCAGAACCTGGGAAGCGTGGCGAGATGGGGGGGGGGGGACCATTGCTTCCATCTTACAGCCATCTTGTCAGATTTACACGAGTGTGTATAAAACCACCCACTGCCATGAAGAACGTGTGTCAGTGAAAAGGGTAAAGAACACATAAACAACAAAGATTAAAATCATTCCAGGCTCACTAGCAGTTTTTAACCCCTCACCTACCGGGCACTTATACCCCCCTTCCTGCCCAGGCCAATTTTCAGCTTTCAGCGCTGTTGCACTTTGAATGACAATTGCGCGGTCGTGCAACACTGTACCCATATAACATTTTTATGAATTTTTTCACACAAATAGAGCTTTCTTTTGGTGGTATTTACTTGCCGCTGTTTTATTTTTTTGCGCCATAAACAAAAAAATTAGTAAAAAATTTAAAAAAAAAGTTTTCCTTTTGTCTCTATTATAAAATTTTGGAAACGGGTAATTTTTGTCCTTCAATAATGTGCGTTGGTGAGGCGGCACTGATGGGCAGTAATAGGCGGCAGTGGTAGGCGGCACTGATGGGCAGTGGTAGGCGGCACTGATGGGCAGTGGTAGGCGGCACTGATGGGCAGTGGTAGGCGGCACTGATGGGCAGTGGTAGGCGGCACTGATGGGCAGTGGTAGGCGGCACTGATGGGCAGTGGTAGGCGGCACTGATGGGCAGTGGTAGGCGGCACTGATGGGCAGTGGTAGGCGGCACTGATGGGCGGCACTGATGGGCAGTGATAGGCGGCACAGATGGGCAGTGGTAAGCGGCACTGATGGGCAGTGATAGGCGGCACTGATGGGCAGCAGTGGTAGGCGGCACTGATGGGCAGCAGTGGTAGGCGGCACTGATGGGCAGCAGTGGTAGGCGGCACTGATGGGCAGCAGTGGTAGGCGGCACTGATGGGCAGCAGTGGTAGGCGGCACTGATGGGCAGCAGTGGTAGGCGGCACTGATGGGCAGCAGTGGTAGGCGGCACTGATGGGCAGCAGTGATAGGCGGCAGTCATGGGCAGGGATAGGCGGCACTGAAATACAACAAGGATGGGCAGTGACTGCTGGGAACTTGTGGGCGGCACTGCCAGGCACCGATCATCAGGACACTGATCATGAGTGCCCTGATGATCGGTGCCGATCCGTCCTCTGCCCTTTGCTGGTTATCTGGAGTACTTTTCTCACGCTGTGAGGAAAGTGCAGCCGACAACCGGCAACTGCATTTACTGGTGATCTGCTGTGTCATTGGACACGGCCGATCACGTGGTAAAAGGCTGCTGTGATTGGCTTTTTACCACATCACGTGATCAGCTGTGTCTGTAGGACACAGTGATCATGGAGATCGCCAAGTGCACGCCCCTGGGGGCACGTGGGAGGACGTCATAGGACGCCCTCCCAGGACTGGACAACCGCGCTGTAGCTGTCATTCGGCCATAGCGCAGTTGCCAAGTGGTTTAAGGTCCTAGAAGCTGTTATCAGCATTTTTTTCTGCTCCTGGAATCCTGGAAGTTTCAGGGTTTAGGAGCAGAAACAAAAAAAAATGTTTTTCCGGCAGAACGCTGAACTACTAAAATGCTCCTAATAGCTTTTTTTTTTTTCCCTGCATGTACTGTTAAAATTTAAACGCTACTAAAAAAACCGCTATTTCCAGCTTCACATCAGTCCCTAACCCTCAAGGGGTGTACAATCTAAGGTCCCTAACCCTCAAGGGGCGTACAATCTAAGGTCCCTAACCCTCAAGGGGTGTACAATCTAAGGTCCCTAACCCTCAAGGGGCGTACAATCTAAGGTCCCTAACCCTCAAGGGGTGTACAATCTAAAGTCCCTAACCCTCAAGGGGTGTACAATCTAAAGTCCCTAACTCACATTCATACATACACATACTAGGGACCATTCAGACAGGAGCCAATTAACCTACCAGCATGTCTTTGGAGTGTGGAAGGAAACCGGAGTACCCACGCAGGCACAGGGAGAACATGCAAACTCCAGGCAGGTGATGCCGTGGTTGGGGAATGAACCCACAACCCGAGTACTGCCAGGCGGATGTGCTAACCCTTTAGCCATTGTGCTGCCCAATTATTTGGAGATTGCTGGAGGTGAACTGGTCCTGATTGTACAACCTGCGTCTTATTCCAGGTACATGGATTGGATGTGGAGACCTGGAAGGAGGTGGAGATCGTACCTATTGATATCGCAGATCGCTCTGAAATCTCAGAAGATGTAAGTAAGATGTAAGGGATTTGCGCATGGCGGCGCCTAAAGGTTTCAGTGTTTGTTAATGGGGCCTCTTCCTTCCCTTTTAGGACTATAAGCCAGAAGAGGACCCAGCCGCATACAGATCGGAGAAGACGGGGAGAGGGCCATTAACAAAGGATTGGATGGTAATGTTCCTTCTTCTGTCGGAACCTTTGTCTCTTAAATCATTTTACTGCCACGGCCATGGATACTAGGGGGGGGGGACAGGGGGGGGGGGGTTCACACATACTCCCAGCAGCTGCAGCAGAGTGTGTGTATCTGGCCAGCCAACTGTTGTCTGTCGGATTTATTTATTTATTTATTTCAGGTACTTATATAGCGCCATCAATGTACGCAGCACTTTACATATATATTGTACATTCACATCAGTCCCTAACCCTCAAGGGGCGTACAATCTAAGGTCCCTAACTCACATTCATACATACACATACTAGGGACAATTTAGACAGGAGACAATTATCCTACCAGCATGTCTTTGGAAGATGGGAGGAAACCGGAGTACCCAGAGAAAAACCCATGCAGGCACAGGGAGAACATGCAAACTCCAGGCAGGTGGTGCTGTGGCTGGGATTCGAACCAACGACTTGAGTACTGCCAGGCGGAAGTGCTAACCATTTAGCCACTGTGCTGCCCGGATAGATAGTCGGATAGAAGCTTCCACAAATGCTGGTAACCAATCCCCTCCCTAGACGCACGCTCGCCATGTTTCCCCACACACACAACACGGACAGACACACACACACCACACACACACGGACAGACACACACACACCACACACGGACAGACACACACACACCACACACGGACAGACACACACACACACACACAACAACACACACACACACAAACACACACAACAACACACACACACACAGACACCACAACACCACACACACACACACACACACAACACAAAAACACAAAAACACACACCCGACAAACACACACACACACACAACACACCCCCCCACACAACACCACACAACACGCACACCCCCCACACACACACCAACCAACAACACACACAAACACACCAACAAACACACAACACACACGGACACACACACACGGACAACACACACACACACGGACAGACACACACACACACACACCAACAGACAACACACACAAACAGACAAACACACACACACCACACACACACACCAACACACACACACACACACGGACACCCCACAAAACAACAACCCAAAACAAAACACACACACACACAAAAAACAGACACAAAACAACAACCCCAACACACACACACACAAAAACAGACACACAACACAAACCCCAACAAACACACACCCCCCCCAACACACACACACCGAGACACACACACACGGACAGACACACACACACGGACAGACACACACAAAAACACAACACACACACACCACAACACACACACACAGACACACAACAAACACACACACACACACAAAACACACACACAACACACAACACACACACACAAACACACACACACACACACGGACACACACACACACACGCCACACAGACACACACACACACAAACACACACACACACCGGACAAAAACACACACACACACACACAACAAACAGAACACACAACACCACAACACACGCGAACACACACACACACACACACGGACAGACACACACACACACGCGGACAACACACACACACACGCGGACAACACACACACACACACACGACACACAGACACACACACACACACACAACACGGACAACACACACACACACACACACACACACAACACACACACACACACACACACACGCGGACAGACACACACACACACACACGGACACACACACACACAACACACACCCCGGACAGACACACACCACACGGACAGACACACACACGGACAGACACACACACACGGACAGACACGGACAGACACACACACACGGACAGACACACACACACGGACAGACACACACACGGACAGACACACACACACACGGACAGACACACACACACACACACGACAGACACACACACACACGGACAGACACACACACACACACGGACAGACACACACACACACACACACGGACAGACACACACACACGGACACACACACGGAAGAAAACGTCCAGGACCCTTTTTTGGTCCACACTAGAATTGTATCGCACGGGTATTCACACCTCTGCGATCCAATTCTTCACATCGCACCGCGTTTTGCGGACCGCTTTCGGGGTGTTGTTAACTTAACATACACACCCGCAGCGGTTTGCATAAACGGGGTGCGATTCTGATGCTGTCCGGAACTCGCACACAAAACGCTGCGAATTCCTCACTACATCAGTCTGAACCCGGGCTTAGTGTTTTTTTTTTTTTTTTTTTTTTTTTACTGAAATTTTGTATTTTATAAACCGTTGCGCTAATATCGTGTGTGGTTTTATTTTTATTTATTACAAGTACTTGTATAGCGCTGTCAATGTACATACACATACTAGGGCCAATTTAGACGGGAGCAAATTATCCTACCGCCATGTCTTTGGAGTGTGGAAGGAAACTGGAGTACCCGGAGGAAACCCACACAGACACAGGGAGAACATGCAAACTCCAGGCTGGTCGTGGTTTGGATGTGCTGATGACTATAGTGCTGACATAAATTATAACTACCACTATTTTATTCTCTGGGGTGTCTGCTTTCAGAAAAAAAATGTTTGGGGGTTTTAGCAAATCTTCAGGCCTAAAGTGATTTATTTTTTATTTTTTTTTAAAAGAGCAAAAGGCTTACCTACTGATTGTGGGGGGGTTGGATTTATGTGTCTGCATGACTGGTGTGTTTTTTTTTTTATTTAACATATCTATTCGTCTGTATTTGTGTGCAGAACGAGATCCTTAACAACCCCTCTTGCCCTCACATGTGTGCCTACAAACTAGTGACTGTCAAATTCCGATGGTGGGGCCTTCAGGGTAGAATGGAGAAGTTTATTCACAAGGTAAGTTCACACATCCACCAGAGAACCGGAACAGGCCGAGTCATTCATTGCTTTTCTGAAAAGTGGCTGAGATGTCTTAGAGTCCTTTCACACAGGCAGTTCCAGATGTCCGTTTTTCATCTGTCCGCTTAGCCCGGGTTCACATCGGTGCGGTAAATCGCATGTGATTCACGCAGGAACCGCACCGCATTCCTGTACAAATAACATGTGATTTGCGTGCGGTGCGATCGGAGTCGTACATTTTGTATGGCTCTAATCGCACCGCACCAAAAAGGCGCAGGACCCTTTTTTGGTCTGCACTAGAATCGGATCGCACGGGTATTCACACCCATGCGATCCGATTCTGCCCATCGCACCGATGTGGGGGTGTTGTTAACTTCTCATACACACCCGCATCGGTCAGTGTAAACGGGATGCGATTGTGATGTGGTTTTGAATTCGCACAAAACTCTGCAGCGCATCAGTGTGAACCCGGGCTCACGGATGAAACCCCCTGTATTTCTGTGGACTATCGATGTATACTGACCATCATGTTTACATCTGTTAACGTTCGCATCACTTAACATCCATTTTTTTGAACGGAAGAAAACCTATTTTTCTTCTGTAAAAAAAAAAAAAACAGAACAAACAAAAAAAAACAGATGTAAACGGACATACGGATTTTACATTGGTAAAGGATGTAAAAAAACTGATGGTAAACTGATACATTTTTTTCTTTGAAAAAATGGGACTGAACTGATGAAAAAACCAGAACGCTTTTTTTTTTCTTTTTAAAGAGAACCTGTACTGTGAAAGCCATGCTTAACCAGTTCCCAGCCACGCTATAGCCAAAGGACGGCTACAGCACGGTTGTGTAATTCTGGGACGACGTCCATGGACGTCATTCCAGAACGCGCCCCCCAGCGGTGTGCACCCGGCACCGCTGGTGATCGGTGTGTCCTACGGACACAGCTAGCTGATCACGTGTTACGGTACACGGCCAATCACTGCGGCCTTTTACCACATGATCAGCTGTGTCCAATGACACCGGGTAAATACAGTTGCCAGTTACCGACTGCACTTTCCTCGCGCTGTCACAGCGTGAGGGAAGTACTGCCGAGAACCGGCAATTGTCAGCGCCACCCACCTCTGCCCTGATGATCAGTGCCACCCACCTCTGCCCTGATGATCAGTGCCACCCACCTCTGCCCTGATGATCAGTGCCACCCACCTCTGCCCTGATGATCAGTGCCACCCACCTCTGTCCTGATGATCAGTGCCACCCACCTCTGCCCTGATGATCAGTGCCACCCACCTCTGCCCTGATGATCAGTGCCACCCACCTCTGCCCTGATGATCAGTGCCACCCACCTCTGCCCTGCAGTGCCACCCACCTGTGCCGCTCACTGTGCCCATTAGTGCTGCCCAGCAGTGTTGCCCATCCATGCTGCCTATCCGTGCCACCTAATCAGTGCTGCCTATCCGTGCCACCTAATCAGTGCCCAGCAGTGCCACCTAATCAGTGCCCAGCAGTGCTGCCTATCCATGCCAACTCATCAGTGTCCCATCAGTGCTGCCTACCAGTGCAGCCTCATCAACACACATCAGTGATGGAGAAAAAGTACCTGTTTGCAAAATTTTATGATAGAAACAAAAACTTTTTGTTTTCAAATTTTTTGCTCTTTTTTTGTTTTTCTGTTTATAGCGCAAAAAAATAAAACAACCAGAGGCTGATTGCAGCGGTGTTGCATGACCGTGCAATTGTCCCTCAAAGTGCGACAGCGCTGAAAGCTGACAATTGGCCAGGGCAGGAAGGGGGTAGAAGCGCCAGGTAGGCAAGTGGTTGAAGACAAAGGACAGGTCACCAGTATTTCCATTGGACTCCATGCAGCTGATCAGTGTGCCTTGTTCTTGCTATGCACCATGTCTCCGTGTAGGGGTGGCCCTCTTGATAGAGGAGCAGGGCTTTGCTTCCTTATGTCAGGACTCGCCCCCCACTGAGGACTGGTGATCTGATGACTTGCGGGGGAATATTCAAGAATGGCAGGAGAGTGGTAGAGGAGGAAACTTAGATCTACAGAATGAATGAAGCAGGGACATCTTTGCACTGCATATCCTCAGGTACGGCTTCGTCTCCAGCAAGGAGAACAGTGAGCAGCACAATAGGGTCATCTCCAGATCATCATTTTTGAGTCCTCTTATAAATCTGTATCAGCTGCCTTTTACCTTGGATTGGCTCGCTCATCTATCTCCTTCTGCTTTCTTTTTTTTGCTTTGTTCCTAGCAAGAGAAGCGCCTCTTCACAAACTTTCACCGCCAGCTTTTCTGCTCCCTGGACCGGTGGGTGGATCTGAACATGGACGACATCCGCCGTATGGAAGACGAAACACAGAAAGAGCTGGACGAGGTGAGGAGTGGATGGCGGCTCTTCTATCATGGCCGTAAATGTATGTATTCCATAGCTAACAGCCACCTCTACTCTTCCTACAGATGCGGCAAAAAGGACAAGTCAGGGGCATGACTGCGAAAGACGAGTAAACTTCTTTTTTTGTTTTTTATTCTTGGCTCCATGGACTTACAGGTGAGAACATTTCCGTCATTTCTTTTCCAACAACCACCACTGGGAGGCAGCTTGTGAGCGTGCAAGAATGCAGCCAGAGAGAAGGGGAAATGATTGTTTTTACAGCCTTTAGCAATCCGTGTAGAAAAAAAAAAAATCTTTATCGCCCCCCACAAGTAGTACAGTGTCACCATGGTGTCACTGTACTGCTAGGGTGACAGTATGTTTAAAAGAAAAAAAAAAAACAAAGTATAACTAAAGGCAATTTTTTTTTTCAGTTTTGGACAGAGTGGGGAGGGAATAGAACCCTGTCAGGTTTTTATTGCTGGTTGTGCCACCGTGAAGGAGATTCAGCCTGTTTGCCATTTAACCCCTTGCCTACCGGGCACTTATACCCCCTTCTTTACCACGCCAATTTTCAGCTTTCAGCGCTGTCGCACTTTGACAATTGCGCGGTCATGCAAGTTTGTACTCATATGAAATTTTTATCAATTTTTTTCTCACAAATAGAGCTTTCTTTTGGTGGTATTTAATTGCCGCTGGGTACTTGACTTTTTGCGCTATAAACAAAAAAATTGCAAAAAATTTGAAAAAAAAAAAGTTTCTTTGTTTCTATTATAACATTTTTCAAACAGGTAATTTTTCTCCTTCACTGATGTGTGTTGATGAGGCAGCACTGATGGGCACTAATAGGCGGCACTGATGGGAACTGATAGGCGGCACTGATGGGAACTGATAGGCGGCACTGATGGGAACTGATAGGCGGCACTGATGGGAACTGATAGGCGGCACTGATGGGAACTGATAGGCGGCACTGATGGGAACTGATAGGCAGCACTAATGAGGTGTCACGGATAGGCGGCACTGATAGACAGCACTGATGGGTGGCACTGACTGGCGCAACTGCTGGGCACTGACTGGCGCAACTGCTGGGCACTGACTGGCGCAACTGCTGGGCACTGACTGGCGCAACTGCTGGGCACTGACTGGCGCAACTGCTGGGCACTGACTGGCGGCATTGACTGGCAGCGCTGCTGGGCGGCACTGGGGGCACAGGTGGGCGGCACTGGGGGCACAGGTGGGCGGCACTGGGGGCACAGGTGGGCGGCACTGGGGGCACAGGTGGGCGGCACTGGGGGCACAGGTGGGCGGCACTGGGGGCACAGGTGGGCGGCACTGGGGGCACAGGTGGGCGGCACTGGGGGCACAGGTGGGCGGCACTGGGGGCACAGGTGGGCGGCACTGGGGGCACAGGTGGGCGGCACTGGCGGGCACAGGTGGGTGGCACTGGTGGGCACAGGTAGGTGCACTGCTGGCACAGGTGGGCAGAACTGGTGGGTGGAACTCTGACAGCGTGAGGAAAGTGCAGACGAGAACCGGCAATTGCATTTCCCGGTGATCAGCATGTCATTGGACACGGCTGATCACGTGGTAAAAGGCTGCTGTGATTGGCCTTTTACCACATCACGTGATCAGCTGTGTCCGTAGGACACAACGATCACGGAGATGGCCGGGTGTGCGCCCCCGGGGGTACGCAAGAGAGCGCGTTCTGGGTGGACGTCATATGATGCCCTCCCAGAACTGGCCGGCCCCAGTGTAACCGTCATTCGGCTCTCTGCGGTTGGCAAGTAGTTAAAAAGAAAAATTCCTTTTAGTTTAAGATAAATTAGTATAAACATTTTTTTTATATAGTGTTTATTTTTTTAGTATGCATTTCATTGAAATTTGTGATTCTGGTTCAAAGCATTGCAGAGTTCTTTACAAATGAAATCAAGGTGAAGAGTAATTTGTTTTTTTTTTCCCCTCCTGTTTTTTTCTTTCTTTTTCTCCTCTTAGATTCCTCTCAGGCGGAGTCTGCCACATCTTTCTTCCTCTCATTGGCTGGACTGCATGGGGTGGGGGTGTTTCAAAGTTTTGAAGAGAAAGGAGAGGAAGAGCTGCTGGCCCCACCCCCTTCCACCTATTTCATTGTCGTCGTGCCCCCCCAGCTTCTCTCATTTGACTTTTTGTTTTTGTCCGCCCAGTTTTTCCAGGGGTAGTATTTAGCCATGTCCTGCCCCTACCGGCCATTCTCACTACAAGATGATCCTTTTTCTTCCTTTTTTTTATTGGGGTTTTTGTTTTTTTTTGTTTGTTTTTTTTTTTCAAATTTCACTTTTCTACTGCTGCGTAACTGGCGATGGGAACAAGGAAAAGTGGTGCTCTTTCGTGCTCCTGTTCCAACTATGGCAGCCAAATTAACCCCTTTTATCCACCCCCCCAAGCTGGGGCCCAGTATTGCGCATCAGGAAGAGAATCGCGTGCCTGTGTAATCCTGAATGATCTCCTTTGTGCGTTACAGGCCGAGTTCCTGACCCTTCACCTGTAGTCTACGGGGCCAAGCCGCAGCATTTGTCCGTTGGGCCCTTAGCGGGAGCGTCGCACTAAGACTGACTGCATGACGAGACAGTTGCGCCGCCTTGGTTAACAGTGTCATCCAGCAGTGAAGGGGTTGGCGCCGCTGTGCTCGCTCTCGTACCTGTTGACCCACATGGCCCAGTGAAAGCCATGGATAAGGAACCCAGAATGGCCGTTTACCCCCTTTGTATGACAGGTGCACTTTAGTGATTCTCAAAGGTCCTTTTGCTTCAAGGGGGTGTCCTCAGTGCAGCTTCCTTTTTGTTTCCTTTTTTGTTTTTGTTTTTTTTTTCTATAGAGCTGTTGGGGATTTTATACTTTGGCTTCAACAGGCACTGAGAAGAAACAGTTACACGTGCCATTTTTTTTTTTTTGTCCTCTTTGTTCAGGGTCCAGAATGCATTTTACTGAGAAGGGACCAGGATGGGCGTTCACTGGGGAGGTGGGCGGGGGGATATCATACCAGTGAGGGGGGGAGGTGTTCATTTTTTCCTTTTTTTTTTTTTTTTCTTTTTTTCTTTTTTTTTTTTTTAAAGGGTATCATGTGACAGCATTTATGGAAATAAAAAAGAACTATAATCATGTATAGGTGTGTGCGGTGGTTTGTGGTTACGGCGGGGAGAGGTGGGTACTGTACGTTGCTGTCTTGTTTTAAAAAGAAACTGCACCGTGTACATTTTTAGTTATTACCATAAAGCTTAAGTTGAAAATTATTTTTTTATTTTTTTTACATGTTTTATTTATTCTGATTTATTTTTTTATTTTTTTAACCATGTTTTGTTTATTTTTTTTTTTTATTTATTTATTTTTTTTTTACATTTTTTTTTATTTTCTTATCTGTTGTTTTATGCAGAGTTGTTAGGACTCCCTCTAGTAGTCATTTGTAGTTTTGAAAATATTACACCCCTTTACACAGCAGACTGAAGATTAAAGTCAAATTCCTTGCTAAAAAACTTCCCAGAGACACAGCGGTCAGCAGACGGGTAACTTCTCAGGGACACAGCGATCTGCAGAGCAGGCAGGGGTAACTCCCAGGCACACAGCGGCAGCAGGCAGGGGTAACTCCCAGGCAGGCAGGGGTAGCCCCGATCAGCAGACACTCAGCAGGGTCTGGGCTGTGGGGTCTGGCCTCGGCTCAGACCTCACACAGCTGTTCCCTCCTTGAGCAGGGGACCAACAAGCACCCAGGTCCTGCTCCAGTCTTCTTATTGCCGGAGCAGGACGCTTCCTGGTTGCAACGGCCGGCCCTGCGTCGGGTTGCCGGGGCAACGAGGCACACCCCCCTCCGGCCACGCCCAGGGAGCGCAGCCTTTGTCTCCGGCGGGCGCAGAGCGCGGGAAACCTCGGGGCCGGGCTGCACCCACTGGGGCAGGGAGGGGGGAGCGTGCCCCGGTCTTGAAGAATCCATGTGCAGGCACAGCGGGGTGTCAGACTCCTCAGCATGGCATAGGTGCTATCCGCACCACAGGGGGCAGTTCCTGACGTCCTGCACAGCCTTTGATGTAGGCTTGTGCCGGACCTAGGAATCTATAAGGGGAAGGGAGGGGGGAGGATGAAGGAGAGCGAGGGGGGAGCCGTGACAGGAGGGGGGATGATGGAGAGTGAGGGGGGGAGTCGTGACAGGAGGGGGGGAGGATGAAGGAGAGCGAGGGGGGAGTCGTGACAGGAGGGGGGATGATGGAGAGTGAGGGGGGGAGTCGTGACAATACAATTTTTCTGCTACATAACGTCGTTGGCTCGGTAATCCGATGGCACCATCATTGATTTGGAAAATTGGTAGACCGAGTCATAAAGTTCTCCCCATATAACAGGCAAAACTTCTGTTCCTTCCAGGTCACGGCTCACGGCGCATATTCTTTTCAGAAAAACGATCGTACGATTTGACTGTCATTGAGTCGAAAATTGGTTGTTTTTCACAAACTTTCCAACATTCCCGATCACCGAAAAGGGGAGGAACCACGAAAATCGGTCGGTGCCATTAACCCCACTAACAGAGCGAAAATCGGCTGATTTATTCTTGGGTCAGATTTTCGGACACAAAATCGGTCAATTTTCGACCCATGTATGGCCGGCCTAAGCTCCATTTCATGCTGAATAAACTAAATCATGAATGTATCTTAAATACAAACTATCTTTAGATAGATTTTTACTCCAACAGCATTTTATTAAAATAGATTTGATAAAAATTTCAGATTTTTTTGTTTTTGGGTTTTTTAATTTTTTTTTTTTTTTTTTTTAAATCAATTTTTATCCACCCCGGTTTGTGTACAAACAAACCTCCTATCTTCAGCTTCAAGAGGGCTTAATGACAGCTGCAATGTGTAAAAATAAATGAAAATCAAAGTTTACAAAACCTTAAGGCTGTTTAAATATAAAGTGACCAGAATTTTTCTCAAATATTTTTTTTATATCTGTGTGCTTATAATAAAACACGTGAACAGGGAATTTATGAAAGCGGTTGTAAAGGCAGCGGTTTTTTTTTCTATACCTTTTTAAAGTGGTTGTAAACCTCACACATGAAATATAAACAAAGCATTTCCTTCTATAATTTGTACTTGTCCCAATCCAGAGCACTTTGTCA